ACTCCCTAGACCTCAAAGCATTTAATGCATCTGGAACTGCAATTTGTGAGTCTTCTTCTATCTTCTACAGCATGCAAGTTATCACCGTTTCAGTTTGTACTACCACGAGCAATGATCTTTCAGAATTACCGTATTGCGTTGCATATTCCACCCCACCCAGCTTTAGAACCAACCAGATTCTGAAAATTAAAAAAAAATATTTGCATAATTTTCCCCCTTTTTAATGCATTCAGAAAATGAACATCCCAAGATTTTAAAATGGATTATCTACATAATGATTGTTTTCGTCATACTAACAAAGGCAAAACTTTTGCACACTAAAGGCCCCGATTGAATCTTTCTCTTCTAACTGTTGAATATTATGTCAGCCTAATGCAAACAATGATCTATGATAGTGAAAGCAAATACCAACTGCCATTCACTATGCAATTTTGCCATATCAGCTGAATGTTCACCCTAGCAAGCATCGGACCACAACCTTCTCTAATTATTTATGTATGATCTGAGGCCTAAGGATTTGCAAGAACAACAATGCGAATGACAGAAGTTCAAATTATAAAGAAGAAATGAGATAACTTATTAGATGTTGCAATTATGTGTATTCTTATTGATATACAGGTTTCTTTTAATTAAATAATATTGTGATAGTAGTAGCTTATCCATGATTACTTTTCATTTGCTATATTCCTACTGTGACTTTGTCCTTTGGAAATTAAATTATTCGTTTAATTTTTCCCTCTTAATTTTCGGAAGATAAAATTAGTAAAAATAAGTGGGAATATGGCATCAAAGAGCATTAGATATCCCCATTTTCTTGAAGCTGTTCACTATTATTGTTTCATCAATGATAGGCCATTGCACCCAAAATCCACTAGCAAATCAGTTAGTAAGATGAAAATGACCACTATGCAGGACGAAACATTTAGGGGTAACTTGATTTGTGAGCGCCTTAAGGAAGACAAACATTACCTAAATCATTAAAACAATATTCAGAATCCTGCTGCTAAAAGAAAGCTAGGGGGAAAATGTTGTCCGGAGTCCCAGTGATTCCTTTGGACGAATATGTAATATTGGTTTAGAAATTTAAGGTAATAAATATAATATTTTTCGAATGCTAAAACAGTTCGAGAAATTTATTCAAGTTCTGAATTCTGAATATAAGTATACTGTATATTATATTTAATAACTATGGTGGCTTCATTTATGAAAATATTTGAATATTGGCTGTTTTTGTACAATGAACCTTCTCTAAGCTAGCTATACGTGATTCCTGAAAATTTTGATCTTTAAATGATAGTGGGCATCCTAGAGAAGTTATGTTTACTAATTAGTTATTTTATGAGGAATGCTGGTTAAATTTAAAAAGTGATTGACTGAGGTAGCTTGTCGTAATGAGACGGTTCACTGTAATCCAATTTTTTAAAGAATTTAAGCTTTTCTAAATTAATTAAGATATTATAAAGAAATATGATTAAAAGTGTTATATAAGCACATGTTTAAAACATCTATTAAAATAATTTTTATAAGCTTTTTAAGAGCATGATTATGATTTTAAAAGAAATGTTTTTTTCTTTATTTAGGAGACATGGTTTACAAAGAGGAGAAAAACCATTCATTTTTTCCAAGCAGTCAAAACGAATTTTTATGAAATGTTTATTATAATTATATTATGTTATTTTTTAATTAATTCTTTTTTTCAGGTTTTATGTAAAGTTTATGAATTAAGTAATAAATTATTTTTACTTCTGTATTTTAATTAGCATATTATTTGCTTCATAGTGTTTCACAATAAAAATTATAAATTCAATAAACTTCTTAATTAACATGCTGTAATATAGAGAGAGCATAAAGTTTGTTTCTGTTCTCACATGTTTATTTCACAATTTTGTATGCGAATCTCGAAAATTTATAATAACTAGGAATACTTTTTAGTATCACTTTCTAAATGGTAAATATTAAGCTTAGATTTATTACATGATTCATGTTTGTAAAAAATTATAGGTAAAATTAAAATGCATTAAATTTTAAGCTAAACTGAAGCATTAATTTTTTAGAAACAAATTTGTTAAAGGCATAATTGTATTAAGTATTAAGAATTTTAATAGAAGCAAAAGGCTTTAAAAATTAAGGTCAGTTGGTGAAGTTTCATGTGCTTATTCAAAAAGCATGAGATTAGGTTTTTAATGAAAGACTTCTATCTGTTAATTCAAAGGCAAATTATTTGAAAAGGTAAGGTAAAAAGGTTATGCAATTTACCATCTATTATTTTAAACAATAGCAGACTGTTGACAAACACTGAGTGCAGATAAGAATAAAAAAATTAGTTAGACGTTTCAAGCGTATGAACAAAATTCAAGCGTATGAACAAAATCTGAATTCCTTGTAGTAACAAAATGAAGTTCATTGCTATGTTGAATTCTTTAATTTACTGAAAATGTCATTTTTTAGAAGGAGAGAATATATTTTTGAAATATGAAGAACAGCTGTTCTGAGTTCTTCATAGAAATATTTCACAAAATGTCTTTTACTGTAATAATATGATCACATCAACATGCAACACGTTTACTCATATAAGTTAAATCTAAAGCAAACATGTGTCTATTTTAGCTAAAATTACTAAAAAGAAAGTCTAGAACATATCTTATTAACTGACACTAAAAACATGCAAATAAAACTACTATTTTTTTTCAGCTTTACAGGGCAAATATAAGGAGTAGCATATCAATTTGAACTTTTAAATTAATCAAAATGATAATATGAAAGGCCTTTCAATAATATCAGGACATAAGTTTCTCTTCATAAAACAAAAATACTCTGCAAACAGACTAATGTTACTTTTTGAAAAAAGAACATTGCTGTTGAAAGCACATCTTTAAATTAATGCTATTCTGAGGTCAAATTGACTAATTTAAAAAGCCAAACTATTATGAGCCACTTGCATATATCTGTATAATGATATACACATGCAGATATTGTTTTGCTCAAAACATCTTGATTTCAATATATTTTATTATAATAAGCATCATTTAGACAAAAAAATCTATTACTTTTTATGGACATATCCTTAGTATTATCTATGAAAAATATATTCTACACACATAATACTTAATGGGATATTAGAAGGAAAATATCTGAAACCTTTACAGATACAACCATTAGAATTTTACGTAAGAAAAGTATCTTCTACTCACATAATAACTGCTATAATAATACAAGCAAATAACCTGTAACGGTTACAGATATATCTGTTGAGATTTTACATGAGAAAAACATGTCTTTTTAAATAATTATTTGCTGTAATATTACACGCAAATAATCTGTAACCATTACAGATATATCGTTTGGGATTTTACATGAGAAAAACATGTTCTTTTACTAATTATTTGCTGTAATTACACGCAAATAATCTGTAACCATTAGAGATATATCGTTTGGGAATTTACATGAGAAAAATATGTTCTACTTACATAACTATATGCTGTGATATTACAAGAAAAAGATCTGTAACCATTACAGGCAAAACTCTTGTAATGTTACAAAAAAACACCTGTTTCTGTTACTCAAATAACCCATAGCATCCCAGTTTCCATGAATTTTCTTAGTAACCTTACAGATTTTTTTTACAGTGTTGATTAATGTGATAAATCATTTTTCAAATCAAACTGATTAAAAATTCACAAATTTTATTACAATTAGTCTTTAAAATAAAAGCAAAACTGGAGTAAAATTAGAATGCAAATTTTGTTAAAAGGAAATTATTGTACTCTTATAATTTGTGTAAGTATTCAAGAACTTATGTAATGAAGATGGGATGAATCAGAAACTGTGACTTAGGATCTCTATTTCAAACTGTGAAAAGAAACATTTTGTAAGAATTATATTTGTAAAATGCAATAATTGCACACAAAATTTATGAGAGGAAGTAACTCTCTAGTGAAGAAATTAGGTAAAGCTTGTGCATATGCAAGTCTTTTACAAATTAATTGTTTAGATGCTTTAATTACATCTATGATTGACGAATCGTATAGATATTGGAGTAACGAAACTTATGTGTTTAACTATAATGGATTTGAGATCAAAAGTTTAACCTGGTCACTAATTGTATAAAGTTGAGTTACATTTAATGCAAGTGCTGCTGAAAATTAAAACACATTACGAAAATTGCCATCTTACAAAGGACTTTTGCGACACCATCAATAGTTTGTGTCTGGTTAGTATTTGATCAAGCCGTATAAAGAAATTTTTAACCAAAACTGCATTTTATTCAGAATTTATGCTTGTTGAAAGTAATGGTGAAAACTAAGAATATTTAACAGAAATTACTTATTAACTCTTTCACTATATCTCGAAAGGTTTCCTTCAGCTGGAGAACGACCTGAGGTTTTCAAAAAACAAATTATTAAAGTTTTATTTATGATTCAAATTTTGCAGGAAGTTGCATTAAGCTCTAAGAATACTGATAAATAAAAACAGTAAGAGAGCTTAACAATGAAGCATTTAGTAACACTGGCATGTCAGGTTCGAATCTCTGTCGAAGCAAAGTCATTGTTATTTTATGCTACTATGTCATAGCATTCAATTGATCGAGAAAAGCATGTTTAAAGAAGTTCCCTCAAATTAAAAAAGTAGCATATTTTACAATAGTAAACAGAAACGTATTTGGTATATAACTCCTCTAACGACGTATACTGAATTTCCTTAAACTGCGTATATTTAATATTTTAGTAAGCAGTTCATGTTATAAATCAGCAGTTCGCTTTCTAATCTAAGTATAAATTGCCAGTTTCAAAACATTTCAATTTCAAAGCAAATTTCAATGAAAGTTTTCTAAGAACACTATGTAAGATAACTGTCTGTTAACGAAATAACTCTATAGAGTTAATTCGTTTATTGCAGTTATGTTTTTATATTATGTAATAATTTTTTTCTTTTAAGTATTTTTTTTATTACTGTACGCGAGTTCTTGAGCTACACATACTAAAATATAATTTTCCTTGCAGTATCTGCTCAAGGCTGTACTGACAAAGATGGTAAAAAAAAGCATACAAGACCTACATTTTCTGGCCACCAGATTTATGTTCTGGAGAAAACATTCGAGCAAACTAAATACCTTGCTGGACCGGAAAGAGCCAAGCTTGCCTATGCCTTGGGAATGTCCGAAAGCCAAGTAAAAGTATGCACATAATACTTTACCTTTTAATATTCATAAATCTGAATGCGTTATTTATCACTTGTTGGCTACGTATGAATACTTCCCAACAACTTAAAGTATAAACAGAAAAAGTTGGATAGCATCTTTGATGGACCTCTGTGGATAAGCATTTATCTCCAAGCTAGAGCGTCCCGTGTTCCAATCTTGATGGAAATTGCACACCAGTGGCCAGTTGGCAAGACCGCTAAACTGTAGCTATTGGATTCGGATTCCAATTTGAGATAGACAAGTAGACAGACAGGTAGTCAAGACAGGTAGTCAAGTCAGGTAGCCCTAGTACGCTTTGTAATAGTTCGAATAGTCCAATCTTTGATCAAATTTAGTTTTTATACATAATTTCCGTTTATTTTATACAAAGGACACTTTTTAAAGCTTTTGTCATTTCTCTAGAAACACCATATGATTTAAAGTATCTTATTTAAAAATAATGAAAATACGAGAAAACTATTTTAAGAATAAAATAACTGTACATAGGTTCGATATTAGCATTTATAAGGTTTGAGGTAATTAGCTATTACATAACAGTGTAACTTAAGTGTTTTGATTTTCTAAATGAATGCAAGATTTTCAGAAATGAACGTAATGCGTGAATAATAGATGAAGAACATCTAAATTTAAAATATTACCTTATATTTTACGAACAAGCAATTCCAGTTTTCTTAGTATTTTCTGTTAAATGTCCATGTTAAGTTACAGAATATGCATGTCTATAAAATTTGAGAGAGAGAAAAGCATATCCAACAAAGAGCTTCAAAAGTTATAATGGTATGGAAAATAATATATACATATAACTTACCAGTATGGATGCACACTTTTAAAATAATTCTACTTTAATTAAACTTAGGAGATAATATAATCAATTAATCAATACTGTTTAGGAAATAAATTATTATTAACTAACTTTGCAGCAATTGCGCAAGTAATAATAACTTGTATTCGCACTAAATGGATTTAAGATCATACAACATATATATATATATATATATATATATATATTGTTACGAAATGTACAGGCGCGTTGAGATGGCTTCCCCGCAAAGCAGTTTTAGGGTTGCCATAAAATGCAAGGGCGGCAGGGTTGACATATTTGGCGAGAAATCGCCCTTTTGGCGACAAAATTGGTGATATACCATGGACGGTTGGAGAACCTTCTGGAACGAATTCTTACCGGTTTAGCCCAGAATGTTCTCGAACACAAGCCGAAAGCTATATAAACCATGCTGGCCCGCGAGTGAGTGTGCTTCATCGTGAGAGCGAGTGTGTGTGCTTCGTCGAGAGTGGAAGTTAGTATCGAGTGAGTGCCTCGTCGAGAGGGCGAGTCAGTGTGTGTGCCTCGTCTGCAGTGCGAGATAGTATCGAGTTGGTGCCTTGTCTAGACAGTCAATCTCTGCGGAGTCGATCGAGTTGACAGCCGGGCAGCGAGTGCCGAGTGAGTCGTCGAGTTCACCGAAGGAGTGTCTTAGTTCATCGCGGTTAGTGCATCGTCGAGAGAGCGTGTTGAGCTCCGGGAACGACTGAACCGAAGAGCCGGGAACCGTGCTCTGTGTGTCGTCGAGTGCATAGCGAGTTGTAGCGTGGAGAGTCTCGAGAGTACGTGGAGTTCCAAGAACGTCCAAGCATAGTCGGAAGCTGTACTCTGGTGCTTTGCAGTGAAGCTGTCTCCACCGTGATAGCCTGATAACCTGAAGATTGTGTCGCTGAACGCATCAGCGTGTTTATAGTAGTTCATCGACGATTGTAAAACGTGTTTTGGAGCTGTCCTGACAATACTGACAAATAAAGTGTGTTTCGATACTTCATCAAATGTCGTCGTTATTCGCTCCAAATCCACAAGAACCCCGTACGAACGTGAAGGAAGAAAATAATGTAACAATATATATATATATATATACATACATATATATGCATATATGTATTAAATTTATGAGATTTTGTTTTCATTGACTTGTTTGAAAATTTCTATAACAGGGAAAGCTATATGAAAAAGAATCTTTAATTAAAGATTCTATAAATCATCCGTGATGATATTAAACATATTTAAATAAGTTCTTCATTAATTCGGCGTGAGTTTCATAGCATCTGATTCACAAATCTTATGACATTCTAAAAATATATTAATTTTCTTACAGACTTTTAGGCAAACAAATCATCTTAAATAAAGACAAATTAAATCAAGAATAATTGAATGGAGGAAAACCGTACGATTTGCCAAAGAAATTTCCTTAATTGCAGTCCAGCTTGAAAATTAATGAATGGCAAAATTCGACATATTTTGGCTCTGAAATCTGATAACATTATTTACCAAAGTAGATAAATTATACCAAAATAGATAGATCTGCTGAAATTATTCTACGAAAATCCATTAGAATTATTCTTTTTCTTCTAAAAATGAAATGTTGCGTTAGTCTCTTGAAATTCACTGAAATTTCTTAATTGTATCTAAGATGGTTGAATTTTGTTAATTATTAGCACATCACTCCGAAAAGTTCTTACTCAAAATTTGAATGATCATTTTACATTTAGAAAGTTTTGCAAGGAGACTAGCAATTGCTTACATTCGTGTTTAATACGGTAAAGCGCAGAAGGACTATCTGGCTAAGGGAATAGATATCTTCGTGGAGAAGTTTTTAGGAAACTGATTCGTATTTTCGGACTAAAATTTAAAAATCATGAACTTTCATTAGTGCTCTATTAGACATTTTCTCATTTGTATACTGAACAAGAAATGGCTTCAAATGATATAAGCCTCTGAGTACCATTCGGAAATAGAATGGACTTGTTTGAAAGTATTTAATTTGGAAGGGAGTTACCTAGAAATGTTAAGCTGTTACATGAAATATCTCATTCCATATTTCGAAGATTGAAGATATACGTATTGTTCGGAGGGAAGCCATTTTAGAAAGCATCCAGTAAAACTAGCTTTCCTTCAATGCTTACATTATTCTGAACACCCCCAGAAGTAAAATCACAAACATTTTATAAGTAATATTTACAAATATGTCTAAATACTTAAAGGATCAATACTAGCTACTTTCTACAATTTAGGAAGAAAACAAAGCTTTTATTCTACAGCATTAAAATAAGAACACTGAACTCTTTACTTAAAGAACTTAAAGTATTTGAAATCAAGTGCATTTAAAAGAAGGTTAAACTAACTGATTATTCTGAAACATATATGAGTTTTCTACTTGAGGTAAGGAAGTGTTCGTGTAGGATCCTAAAGAAGACTGGCTCAATAGGAGCCAGTCTTCCTTAGAATCCTCTGTGAGCGCTATAAATGGAGAACATTATAAACATGGAAAATCCAGAAAATATTCATTCAGTGAGCCTGTTCGCCAGAGCCTTCAGGAAGTCATCCATTTCCTTAAGTAAACACTCTTATGTGTTTTGGTGACTAGACAGAGTAAATCAAAAAGAAGTATTTAATCTGGAATGCTAAACTGTTTTTAAAAATGTACCATTAGTTCAGCCGATTAAGAAAGAATGTTATGAGTCCAAATTATCTGCTGAACCCCTGTAGGTAATTCAGGAAGAATAAATACAAAGTTTCAATTACCAATGACAAATTTTCTAGGATGATCTGGTTAGCTCTTTGTATCGCTTTTGTTCAGATGTGTTTCGTATTACAGCGAAATGCTTGCTTTGCATTTAAAACTTGAATTTATCTTTGCAAATCTGATATTTTGTCTTTCATTCTGTTACTGATTCTTTATCATAGGCTCAACAAAGGGTTCTTCGCATGGCTTTTCTTCAAACATCTGGTTCACAGAGTACGCTTAATGAGATCAGGCGTTGTTATGCATAAAAAGGGCTGATTCCTTGATGGCAGAACAACCCAGGCAGAACTTTAAGGCACAACCCAAAGTCTAAGAATTACGTCCCTGTAACTTTCTATGCATTCAGAGATTCATTACGAATGATATACAAGTCAGTATCATTCGTCAACACAATACAAATCAGTGAATGATATACAAATCTGTATACTCATTACGAATGATACACTTAAAATTATCCAGCACTTGTCTCCAGCAAAAAGCAATCTTTCTTTGACTTTCGCTGACCTTTATTGTGTATAACGTTTTTCCCTGATCAGAAGCTGACAATAATCCGGTTCTGGACTGAATCTGGACCCATCGAAGAAAATAAATTTGCTTCACACGGACCATCCTCAATCACAATGTTCTTCACCCCAATTTCTTCGAGTTCAACATGTTGAAATCCCTCTGGGACACAAACAACTGGATTACGTGCATAGAATTCTCATGCGTGAAAGTGTTTGTGAATTGTTTTTGGCGCCGCTGTTCTTTCAATTGCTGTTAAATGTTATACCTGAAACTTATAGTTGAATATATAAACTGAACATTAGCCCCCCAACCGAGATAGTAGTTAGGGACGCTACCGTACCGAAAAGCCCTGTTTTGAATCTCGGAGAAGACATGGCTGTTTGTAAATGTATAGTGTCTGTGTGGGGCATGAGGGCACTCTAAATACGCGGCGAGCCGAACGTCTTCTCGAGAGGTTAGTGGTAGGGGAAGAAGTGTGGGAGACCCTTGAACCTTTCTCCTCCGGAGTGCTCTCTTTCAGAATTGGGAGCAGAACTTATATGGTACTCAAGGTTCTTATATGGTGCTCTGTTCACTACTGTATATGATGCTGCTTATATGGTGCTCTGTTCCCTATTGTATATGGTGCTACTTATATGGTGCTCTGTTCACTATTGTATATGGTGCTCTGTTCACTATTGTATATGGTGCTCTGTTCACTATTGTACATGATGCTGCTTATATGGTGCTCTGTTCACTATTGAATCCGTGGACTGGTACTATATTATTTTAAAATCTTTTCTTGATTCAGTTTGGTTACGTAGCTATGGTGGAGTATAATTTATATAATTTTCATTTTCCCCCTATTTCACTACATGTCTACAACACATTCAAGTCGTACACAGAATACCGTTTGTGTCATAAAATATATATTATTTGTTTATATTGGGAGAATTATTTGTAATTTTTTGGAAATATTAAATATTCTGAATTAAAAAAATTTCTTGACAGTTTCGGCATGAATCCGCTTCGAAGCGCATCAGACGAACAAGAAAGATGAATAAGGTATTTTAGAATGGAAAAGAAAGCAGTTGCTAATAATGATGGAATAATGCTTTATAAAGCAAAATATGATCATTCCTTGCAAACATAGCTACTGTGTAAGAAAAACGGACTAGATCCATTTCACAGAAGCAATTTGATGCAGTCTTGAAGACAGCATGTTATTTGATACTTTACTCAAACGGCGAAGCAGCCTCGAATACCATTCGCATACCCTTGCAAAACCAAGACGAAAATCTATTTTACCTACTTTGCTCTTTGTTCTCATTTCAAACCCATGACTGTCACTCCTGTTATTTCACTTGAGAAGTCGGATGTATTATCCTTTGCCACATCATTACTCTCAATGAGTAAGAGTTCAGAAATCAACACCCATCTAGTCAAATTAGACTCTTGCAGTTACCTGAAGGAGGACATTATAAAGTCAAGAGAGAATGAGGACTTCATGGAGCAAACTGAAGATATAACAATAAGAACATTTTTCTCTCTCCTTGGCAGCTAATTCCTTGGTGGTAGATTCTGAAATAAGAGCCCAAATGCAGTATTAGAACAGAAAATCATGTTACCGTATATTTATGATAGAGGCATTGTATAGCAGCCCAGTTAGTAGAAATGGAGGAAGTATTTGAAATACTTTAATAAGTTAAATAAAAAAATGTCATTTTTAGTACTAAAGTAGGGAAAAGGTATGTTAACATGGGTTTTTTTCATGACCATGAACGATATCAACAAAGCTTTGGAACATAGGATCTGTAGAAGAGACTCAACCATTAAAAAACACCTCCCGTTAAATTATTACCTACTGCAAAAGACGAATCCTAAATTTTGATTTCTGCGAAATCATGAGAGGAAAACTGGATGGTTCTCTCTTGGTTCAAAAATTATATACACATCCTCGAACGTCAGCTCCTAAATATACGCATGTTAATAGGGATTCTTACACTTACTAAAGGAAAATATTAGTTATTTTTGGCGTACCTATTTATGTTAGGTCATTCCACCTCATTATCTTTGTCTTTCACCACACACGTCTTTTCTCCTCACAAGCAAAACACATTTCTTTTTATCTTCCTTTCCGATATCCTGTTATCATTCGTGCAAAAAGGTTAGAACTCACTTTTACTCTGAAATTTTATTTACGTGTATTATGAATTATTTTAAAGACGAATAATTCTCCATGTCACATGCGTCAACATACTGATCACAATATTATCATCCATATATTTCACAACCGGCATAATGCAATCTAAACATATAGCACAGGATTTCCCTGTTGCAAGTAAATGCGCCAAAATAAAATAACTTTGAATTTAATAAAAATAGTCTGTGAAATTTGATATTTGGGAAGTTTTTAGCCTAACTTATCCTTTTATCTGAAATAATTATTCATGTTCTGTTTTTTGCAGGTATGGTTCCAGAATAGAAGAACAAAATGGAGAAAGAAACACGCAGCAGAAATGGCCAGCGCAAAACGAAAACACGATTCAGAAGCTGAACACTTTAGGCACGAGGATATATCTGATCGAAACGACACCAAGCGCCTCAAACTGAATGTTCTAAGATCTAACTGTAGACACGACGATTCATCGGAGAGCATACTTTGACATCGTAGACCATCTGTAAATACGTCTTTTCATGTCAGCAACTCAACAGCTATTCCAAAACTAAGTTCCATTTATGTCATCACTAAGGATTCTACATTAAAGCAGAATTCACCAGAATACTAGCTTCTCCATTGTTTGATGTCTTCCAATTCATTAAAATCCAAGAACTTCTACATGAATTGGAAAATAGATAGAAAAATTATTAAAATACTCATCAAAGAAACATAAAGACTAGTCGTGGAATTTATATTCATTGAGATGTAGCAAAAACGTTGTCTGATTGATTTCGTGTGAAGTTTCTAAAACTATTTTGAAAGACTTTACTCAGCTCTGTCTTTGTACTTTCGCAATTACAGATTGTGACGCAAGTTCACATGATAAAATTGTTCCTATTCACATGATTTTTGTTCGTCTCACTAATGTTGAGTGCAATTTTATGTGACACCTTTAGATAATGAATTCTATATTTGCAATCTAAATTTTAATCTACGAGAAAGGATATTGTATGTATGCAGATGTCTGATAAACAGGTTTCATGTTTTGTTAATTATTTGATCTTTATAAATAATATGAAATATAATTCCTTGAAGCCGTTTGTCACTGAAAGCAAAATAATATCACCCTAAAGAGATTTAAGAAATGGCATGCATTTCATTGAGAATTTTTAGTCTTGTAAATTTTACCTTTAGGTTTTTCAGCTAAATTTTATTCAATAGTACATGTTAATTCGCGAAAAGAATCGCTTTTAACTCATATTTTTAGAATATGCAGAGAAATCTGTCATGTCGTTCACCTCTGAAGAAGAGTATCTCTAGCAGTTAGCAGTATTTCTTACAACATAAAAAGACATCGCTACTGAACATTACTTATATAAGGCGACGGCCTTCACCATAAGACTCAAATCCTCAGGAACTATGAATGGTCGTGTTAGGAAGGGTCACTGCTTACTATTACGTGTCTTTTTCTACGGCATAGTCTCATCAGACTTTAAATGGTTCCGAAAACTTAACTGAAAACTCTATTTTAGTTTCACTGTTATAAAAAATCAAACTTATAAAGAAAGTTAAAAAATTAAATTCAAAAAGCTTACCAATGCATATTTCTCTATTTCCCCCGCCCAAAATGGAGAGCACAAGTTGTCATAGACGTTGGCTTCTTCTAAGGCAGGAAGCGGTGGTTATTTTATAATGGCGGCACCTAATAGGTGGGCCGCCGTTGAATGCTATGGAGGGACAGACAATTTACATCCATGCCTACTCCGGAATTCGAACCCGGACTCTTTGGTAAGGGAGTCAGAGTCACTAACAGCTTTCCCATCTGGGTGGTGCCATCCTATCTCAAAAGCTACATTTTATTACATTAGCTTTTTCATTTTTTATAATTTGAGTTCTTATTATTAACAGCAAAATTAGTAACTAAACGCTTACAAATCTTTACTCAAAAACTGAAAACTTATTTTAACATTCACTACATTAGTTAATTTCACTAATAAAACTTTATGAATCAAATAATTGTTCATTTAAAGGGGGAAAAAGACAGTTCCACAGGGATAGCCAAATGATTTTTCCCGATTTAAAAAAAATTCAAGCAAATTATTGAAAGGAAACTATAACTACAGTATCTGCAATAGTTTCCTCTTTAAAAAAAAAAAAAAAAAAAAAAAAAAACTAGAAATCATGTTATACCTTGTATAAGAAATAGGAGATCTTACTAGCCAGACTCAAAATTCGATATGTCGGGAAAATTACGGATTATGATACCGCACTACTAGAATTACGGATTATCGTACCGTACAGTTGTTGCTCGCGTTGAGATTTCATAACTGTTACGAGAATTTTATATTTATGAATCTGGGAGAATCTGCAGAGCTATAAACGGAATACAGTCTCCAACCACTAACTCCGAATACATTAAAATCTCGCACACATCGTGTTAGGGATCCTGCAACGACATTACGTACATTAGATCAGGAAACTGGGTATACTATACAACATCAAGTACTCACTTTTATCGTGTCTTCATTGCCTCGAACTGTCAGAGAGCGGCTATTGCTTCAGTCCCCCCCCCCGTTGAAGCAATCAATGACGCACATGAGCGCTTCAAAATCGTGAGCTTGCTATTTCTCGCAAATCTCACTTTTGTTTAAAGCATCATGATAGAGGTATCCGAGTGTGGTGATACCGAAGAGAAGAAGCAACGGAAGTTTGCCTTACCCACCGTCACAACCGCCCAGTGACTAGATTGATGACAGGGGTATTAATTTAGTCCCATTACGTATCATTTATTTCTAGTCCGCATATCTGGTACTTTAACCAGCCGCCATTACGTTACTAAGGTTTTAATGCCTGTGGCTATGCCATATCCTGGAGTCCTTTACCATCTCACATTTCAAACAGGGCAGTGGCAAATTATATGTTACTCACGCTGTCCAAAGTTTTCTTATTTCACAGGGTGCTCGGTTCCTGCTGTGGTCGCCGCGATATCTACATTTCTCACAAACTAAAACTATTTGATCGTGTTGCAGGGAGATTGTCACGACAACACCCTCTGATCAGTATGACAGGTAAACTATGGCATAGAATTGAAGACACATTGACCGCAATACCCACAACTCCCATTAAAATTCTGTTCGACTCCACAACCGTATAACAGCTGCTATTGTTGTCAAAAGTGGATATTTAGTGAACTGATTTCTTTATGTTTTGTACCTAAATATTATCTGAAATTCTAATCACTCCACCCTTCTATTATAACATATTTGGCAATATGATTCTGCTAAATGCTTTACTTCACAGGGTAGCAAGTTTAATGATTAGCAACATAAACTAATCTTTTAGTAAGCCGGGGCTCTCGAGTTTTGGAAATCTGTAACACACCAGCTAAAAGTGATATACTCACTAACTGCTGTGCTAAATCAAGAAACATCTAAGAACAATCGCACCAGATCTCAAAAATTGCGAAAATTAATCATTTCCTTTAGCTTTTTTATTTATACACACTTACACCTGCCGATGACAAAGGATTCAGATTTTCAGATGACTTGTTTTGTGTGATTGTCCTTAACGAACATGCTGCGTAGCTTATTGTCAGTTGACCATATCTAAGATCTCCTTTGGTTTTGATATTATAAAAGGAGTTAGTCATCTGCGTAAAAAATGAATCATTTGAAAAGTTTTTTATCAGCATTACCAAATGATATTTTGCAGTAAATGTTGTTTTATATTATAAGCTTGATAAATAAGATACGCTTTAAGCATCTTAAAGAAGTATTTTTAATATATTACATAAAAAAATCTTGTACATTGATTCAAAAGTTCTAATTCCACTTCTTATGTACATGACCTCGACATTCAAAATAAAAATAACAGTAACGAAATTTGGCAGAAATTTATAGACTGCAAGAGTCTACTGTTTTATACTGAATAAAGAAACAAACGTCCGAAATTTGTAAATTGAAATTCTTTTTAACTTGAGTTTTAATTTTGTTTGGCAACTTTAGTATTATAGTCTTATGAGTTGACAGCATTAGGTTGTAGTTTTGTTTAAAAAGGTAATAAAATTGTGCGTATAGTTTCGTACATTTTTAGTTGTTTAAATTTTTAACGTGTTTAATAGTAAATTCTTTTTAAAAGTGCTAAACTGCAATATGAGGCGGCAGAGCGGTAAAATCGCTGAACACTGGTAGTTCCGACCTCGGTTCGCTTCCAGACGAAAGGGCTGGCTGTGTGGGCGTTTTCGGGGTTTTCCCTATATGTAAAGCATATACGAGCCAGTTTACCTTAGAAAGTTATTCACGAAGGTATCCCTTCCCTGAGGCAGATAGCCCTAGTGTACTTTGCCATAATAAACGAAACCAATACTGCAGTCTGAAGATTTTAGATTGACATGTCACTTTCAGAGTTGGTTGTTTTAGACACATGATCGCCGTGTGATATGCGTATTCTCTGTCGACTTTTGTTACATATAACCTTGCTTTATTTTATGTAACATAAAGACATTGATGATAATTTTTACCTCAGCAAAATTTCAAAAATAAATGTTAAACACGAATGATTTCAGTTATTATCATTTGCTTAAAAGTTCATTTGATATAGTATCCTTGCGTAGCTGGCCTCTGTTGAAACATTTCTATCAGGTATTATAATCACGTTCTTCTTCTTTGATATGGCATTAAAAAATAAATAACAAATTTAATCCGAAAGTGAATGAAATTTTAAAGGAATTTGTTTTTTAAAAACCCTTTAAAATTTTAACTATTTATTTGATATTTGAAAAGTAAGAAAACTTAGTATTTTTGTTAAATACCATAATTAGTAAGCTGAATTTTTAAGTTCCATTAATGTAGTTACGTGACCATTCACTGAACATTTTTTTAAAAAAATCAGGGTCAACGTAATTTAAAAGGTGATCAAGAGCAATTATTTTTGTAGCCAAATTGAAAACTAGTGCCAAGTTTTAATCGCAAATAAATGCAAAACGCTTTGCAAGATTTTTACAAAATTTGGCATTTAAGTATAATTTGAAGCACAGAACCGAAATGTGATATAAAAAAGAAGCATGCCATTTCAAAACTGAGTGGTTATTTTGTCAAAATACGTATTAAAGAAATATCTGCTAAGTTTCTTCACATCGCTAGATAAATTTATACGAAATATTCGAACTTGATTACTTTATTTTCGACATATTTGCATAACATCCTCCAGAATTATGGTTTTCGCAAATAGTTCAAACAAATTATTTACTTTTGAAAATTACTACAAGTAATTAAGTGCGCAAAATTATAAAAAAAGACCTGTTTATTTCTAAACTTCATTTATCACAAAAATTTCACTCTAGGAAAACATTCAACCTTGTTACAAGGCTATTAAACAGACGATATGTAAAATTCAAGACATGTTTAAGTCGTTCAAATTTTTAATTTTTCTTCATATACTTTTTGTTATTTTGTCTTAACGCACAGAGTATTTCGAAAACTCAAGAGCCTCCGAGAGCCATCCTTTTTCTGTAGCACTATTTTTTTTAAATCCCCATGATTTTCTGTCTTCTTATAGTTTTAATATCAATACATATATTTTTTTTAATATCTTGTTCTTCGAAGAAAAGCACATTTTATGTTCTGTTGAAATGTATGGATTTCTTTTGCTAATATCAGTTCCAATCTAAAGCTGAACTTTTACCTAATTTTAAAATCGAGAGTTGTTATTTATTAATGTCCATCTGTGACCGAGTTGTGCTTTTCCCATGTGCAACATTTATGCCAGCCAATTTCCCGTAGAAACTCCTTCTCTGTTACTTCATTTAATTTGAAATACATAAATTTCCTTACTTCTGTGAATATATGGAGCATGTTTGCAATTGCAGAATCAAAATGAAATAAAATTAAAATCTTCTGACTTATAAATTTTTAATACAGGGAAGGATAGGTCCATAGGAACTTAATAAAGGTACTAATAATAGTCATAGAACCGATAAATTTTTATTGTAAGGTTCTCTGAAGTCATATGTGTGTAGAGATTATTTAGCGTCAGA